CCACGGTTTGGCAACTGTGGCCATTGCTGCTATGAACATTGGGGTACAGATGGCCCTTCTTTTCACTACATCTGTATCTTTGGGGTAAATACCCAATAGTGCAATTGTGGGGTCATAGGGAAGCTCTATTTTTAATTTCTTAAGGAATCTCCACATTGTTTTCCAAAATGGTTGCACAACTTTCATTCCCACCAACAGTGTAAGAGGGTTCCCCTTTCTCCACCCCTTTCTTGACAGAAGAGAAATCTAATCTCAACTAGTGATAATTTGCACCGCTGTCTTATTCTGGTCCAGTCATATTTAATTTCATCTTTCTGCCCCTTCCCTCCTGTGAGACAATTGTTCTATAGATCGATTTTGTCCTAATCTATAGCTTCATGTAAGTGGAATCACATATAGTATATGTTCTTCAGGTCTGGCTTAGTTTATTCACATAATGTTTTTCAGATTCATCCATGTTATTGCTAGAATCAATAGCTTGGTCCTTTTTTATTATTGGGTAGTATGCCCCTTTATTAATATATCATAATTTTCTTATTAGTTCTCCTGTCAGTGGGCATCTTGCTTTTTGCCTATTACAAATATAGATTCCATGAAACATGTACACAATGTGGACATAGGTTTTTTTATTTTTCTTGAATAAATAACTAGGAGTAAAATTATTGAGTGTGCAATTACATTTATTAGAAACCATCTAATGATTTTCCTAACTGGTTGTACCAATTAACATTCTCATTAGCAATGTGTAAGAGATCCAGTTGTTCCACATCTACATCAACACTTTAGATCTTCAGTCTTCTAAACAGTTAGCTTTTTTTTTTTCAAGATTTCTTTTTCTTTATTTATTTGAGATAGAGAGAGAGAGTGAGCACAAACAGGGGGAAGAGCAGAGGGCGAGGGAGAAGCAGGCTCCCCACTTAGCAGGGAGGGCTCCATCCCAGGACCCTAGGATCATGACCTGAGTCAGAGGAGATGATTAACTGACTGAGCCACCCAGACGCCCCTAAAAGGTTAGCTATTCTAAATGTGATACAGTAATTTTGCATTGTGGCTTTAATTTGCATTCCCCCAATGACTAATATATTCCCTTGTTTTCAGCCATCCAAATGTCTTCTTTTGTGAAGTTCCCACTTCTTTATTAGATTGTCTTTTTTTTTTAAAGATTTATTTATTTATTTATTTATTTATTCGACAGAGATCACAAGTAGGCAGAGGCAGGCGGGGGGGGGGCGGGGAGCAGGCTCCCCGCTGAGCAGAGAGCCTGATGCAGGGCTTGATTGCAGGACCCTGGGATCATGACCTGAGCTGAAGGCAGATGCTTTAACCCACTGAGCCACCCAGGCACCCCTAGATTGTCTTTAATAATAATTTTTCAGAGTTCCTTATGTATCCTAAATAGAAGTCTTTGGACAGATATTTGTACTGTAAATATCTTCTCCCAGTTTTGTCTCCCCTCTTCATTTCTTTTTAATGAGATTTTATCATTTTCTATAGTCAGGTGTCTAGTGACTTATTCAAAACAGCTTTGCCTACCTCAAGACTATAAAGATACTCTCCTTGTTTAGCATTAACATTTAGATCAGAATTTCTCTGTCTTGACACTATTGATATTTCAGGATGGAGAATCCTTACTGAGAGGTGGGGTTATCCTGTATTTTGTAGGATATTTAACATCATCCATGGCCTCTAGCTACTAGAGGCCAATAGCTGGAGTGGTGGCAATGGTAGTAGTAGTAGTTTTCAATGTCATTTTTTTCCATATGGGAATCTAATAGTTCCAGCCTTATTTGTCAAAAAGACTTTCCATTCCTCAGTGTCTTGAACTGGCATCTTTCTTGAAAATCAATTGACCTTATTGTGTGTGTCTATTTCTCCAGTCTATTTGTTTATTTCACTCTACTTATTAAACATTTTCTTGAATACCCTAGATTGTTTGCATTTTTATATAGATTTAAAATTACAGGTCAAATTCTGCAAAAAGTCTGGTGGAATTTAGTTGAGATTTCATCGAAACTATATGTATTTTAAAATGTCATCTTCCGATCCAAAATGCGGGATGTTTCCTCCTGTATTTCAGTTCTATAATTTCTCAGCAAAGTTTACATTGTAGTTTTAAATGGGAAATCCTACACATATTTTGTAAAATGTATTCCACATTCTTAAAGATGGCTGATAACATTATAAATTGTATGACTTTAATTTTATATTGTTTGTTTCTTATGTATTTTATTTCTAATTTTTATAAAATGACCTCAAATCCAACAATATTAACTTCACCTTGAAGTTCAGTAATTTGTAGATATTTTTGGATTTTCTACAATCCAGTCGTGTTGTTTACAAATAATGAGCTTTATTGTTTCCCAAACTTTATGACCTTTTTTTTCCTTGTCTGTTTCATTGGAGAGGACCTTCATCATAATATTGAAGAGAACCGTTAAAAGTGGACATTTATGTACTCTTCTTGATCTTAAAGGAAAGGATTTAATCTTTTTACCATTAGGTATAATGTTAGCTATAGATTTTCATACTCAATGAGTTCCTTTTTATTTTTAGTTCAAGTGTTGAGTTTTGCTCTAGCAAGCAGCCAAAGATACAATGATACCACAGAAATTTTGTTTTTGGTCTTCTGAAGGCAAAGGTGTTTTGTTTTTTCACTTAGCTTTACAATATAGCCCTTAATCCTTGGGCTTAACTCTAAATATGGGGCTCTTCTGGGATTTTAAGGAAATATATACTGTTTAACACTTGAACTCCAGATTCTGACTTTGCAACATAAGCAGCTATTGAAATCTCTGCTCTACTATCTGGTCTCTCAGCTACTTCTTTCCTCTGAGTGATAGTGTGATTTATAATAAATATATATTTGATCTTTGTGTCTTTTCTGGCACAGAGCTAAAACCCTTAAAATTTAGGACCACTTCTGAGTTGTGGAACATGTGGGTATGCTGGGAGAGTGACATGTTCAGAGAGCACTTGGAAGTTCCTTTCCCCACACTTCACCATATGTGTTTCTTCCATCTGGTGCTCCTGAGTGATAACCTTTTATAATAAATTGGTAATCTGGTAGATAAGATGTTTCTCTGAGTTCTCTAATTAATCTCAGATTGAGAGGTCTTTGGAACCTCGTATGTCTAGCTGGTTGATTGGAAGCACAGGTGACAACCTAGGCTTTTGATAGACATCTGAAATGGTGGTGATGGGAGGGCCATCTTGTGGGACTGGCCCTTAACCTCTGGATCTGATACCATCTCCCAGTAGACAGTGTCGGAATTGAGTAGAACTGTAGGACCTCCAGCTAGTAACAGAGAATTGCTTGGTGGTGTGGAGAAAACCCACATGCATTGAAACTGGTCCCAGAATTTTACTCTGCATGAGTAGGTTAAGAATCAGCCTGGGATTTAAGTGGAGTTAATAAGCAGATTTGGTGGCTCCCCTCTGGTTCTCTCATTTCTTAGAATTTTCCATTCAGTTCCAGGCATCCTGCAACCCCAAATGTCAATATTTATTTCTTTAATCCAATAAGTTTTCAGTTTCTTTATGAGCTATATTCTGTGCAAACTGGGAAGTGTTCTCAGAGAGGCTGGATAAATGTAAGTTCATTCTGTTTGTTTCCCTTCCCCCAGTGATTGAATCCCTTCCAGTTCCTTTCCGGTAGTAGCTGCTTTCCAAAGCCTTTGACAGTTGTTTATTTTTCATTATTTTGTTCAAAATAAATGTGTTATTAGTAGAAGACTTAGCCTGCTATAAACTGTTCCTCTATTACTGATTGTCCCTCCCCGTACTGGATTTCTTACCGTTCCTCCAACACACAACTTTTCTGACTTCTGGGTCTCCACATATGCTATTCCTTTACCTTTACCTGGAGCCCAGTCAACCTTGCTCTGTGGCTAACTTGTTTCCAATTATCCTTCATGCAGGAGTTGAAACATCAACTGTTCAAGAAAGTCTTTTCTTACCATCTTTAACACATCTAGGTTGGTTCTCATGCTGTAATTCCCATAGCATACTGTACCATTTGTTATGGTATAAGACTCATCTTTCCTATACTTATTTAATACTTTCTTCCTTTTTAGAGTGTAAGCTGCATGAGAATAAAAACCATACCTTATACCATGCTTCACCAATAAGAAAGTATTCGGTAAAGATTATAGCTTTCTTTAATGTCAAAGTATATAATGTTTTGATTACCTTTTCACAAATATTGAGCAAGTGATTTATTAAAGTTATTCATAAGGGAATCCATCAGGATACAGATACATGTACAGGTAGGCATCGACCAATAATTACAACAAAATTTCTTTTTGTCCACTTTGCTAACGGTGCCTAGGTGTTCAAACTATGTCCAGCTCGGAAGTACAATAGCACCTTTTTGGAAAGCTTTCAGTGATAGTAGCACAAACCAAATATTTAAAAAACTAAGTCCAGATAAGTCTTCTGGAAGCTTTTAAATCATCACCAAGAAATCCACCCGATAACGTTAATGATCTATCATTAATGTCATCAACTCCAAGACTGCTTTACAGCTTTAAAAAATTCTACTAAGTATAAATATGATTATATTCTTTTCCACTCTCCAGAGCCATCTTCCTCTCTGTAGCTGAGACACACAGAAGTGCATTATGCATCTTGGGAGTTGGATTAACTCATTTTAGACAAAAGGGTGACATGGCCATAGGCACTGTTAGATATATTCTGTCTTCTCTTCAGAAAAATCAAACACATTTAGCAAATCAGAGTTCGGATATCCTGGGATACTCCTGGGTACTCCATTAATTCCAGGCAGAAACCATAATCTAGCCCAGGGCATGGCACATCGTTGGGAAACAAACCTTTATTTAGTAAATCGATGAAAATGGCCATGGCAAAAATTCAAAACAAAGGCAATTACAATAAACAAAGTTTACTGATTAGTCCATAAACATGACCTTTAAAAAAAAAGTATAAACCATACAACTGACTTTGGTTAATAAATCGAGGTACTCCCCCGGTGGGAGGTCCACCTAACCAACACAGCTCTTACAGCGCTGAAGACCATTCTCGTTGCAGACAGTACACTTCAGAGCTTTGAAAGAGTCTGTAAAGCAGTTTCGAAACACTGACATCTTGCTCCCGTGGCAGACGGAGCATGGAAGAAAGCCAAAGCCTCCACAGGAGGGGCACTCATGTGGATGCTGTACTCTCTGTAGAGGAACAGGGAGGACAGAAGACGTGTTAGCATGAACAACTCAGTCAGTCTTCCTGTAGTTCTGTATTATGGATGGTCGTAAAATAATATTGGCATGATATGGCTGTGGACTTGAAATCACCGACCATTTATGCACATTAGACCCAGGGGGAAGCTTGCTGAAGTTCTACTTATTATCCCATTGATGGCCATCAACCGCACAACCTTGGTTCGTGATGACTGGTACATTTTAGATGAAAGGGTCCATAACCCAGGAAATCTATCTTATGGAAACATGCATTTACAAACCAAGCAATTCAGGAAATGGTTATTTGCATTAGAGGAAAGTACTGTAGCTTTCCCTTTAGTAACTCTTAACAGTTTTCTAGTTTTGTTTATAGAAGAGTATCGCTAATAGTGAGTCTGGAAAATCAGAAAATTAAAAGCTGAATAGTGGAGGAGCCACTGTCAACTGAAGATTTATTGTTGTGCTGCACATTTGAATAATGCTTTGGTTTCTTAAAAGCGCTTTCAAATGCCTTATTGCATAGACCTTCCCTAAGCTCATCCTTTACACATACAGACACCTTCTACTACAAAGCAGGTAATTCAGGCATCTTTACCCTCTTTTTATATTTAAGGAAATAGGCATTGAAATCTTAAGACATTTATCTAAGTCCATAAAACTTCCCACAATGGCTATCTACCACTCTACCTCAAGTAAAGATAAAACACCCTTCTACTAGAATGAAAATAACTATGCAGTGTGTTGAGGATAATATTTTGAAAATTATTCACACACATTTCTATTTGCTTCTTTGAGCACATATCCTTTGCTGGCATCCACTAGTGGGACTAGTGGGGGGAGATTAAGCAGGAGTCATTACAGAATGAATACAGAGAGAAAAGTGAATTAAGACCAAGCTTCTGACTTGCAAAATAGGAGTCTGCAGCAGTGTTTGAAAGCTTGGCTTTGTGAAGGGAATAATTGCTAAAATAAGATTGGGAAGGGGTGCCAGAGTGGCTCAATGGGTTAAGCTTCTGCCTTCAGCTCAGGTCATGATCTCGGGGTCCTGGGATTGAGTCCTCCGTTGGGCTCTCTGCTCAGCAGAGGGCCTGCTTCCCCCCTCTCTCTCTGCCTGCCTCTCTGCCTACTTGTGATCTCTCTCTTTCTCTGTCAAATAAATAAATAAAATCTTTTTTAAAAAATAAAGAAAGAAAGAATAAAATAAAATAAGATTGGGAAATACAATCTATATACACACACAGAAACACACTCAGACAAACATATTTTACATACACATACATATGGCTATTCTCTGGAGATTCACAACTGCACACACTAAAGTCCCCAAAGCACCCAAATGAAAGGAAACCATTAACTAGGTTTAATCCATCGTTTCTCCAGCTCATACAGCTACGATAACCGTTTTCCCAGGAAACAACTATGATTCTCTCACAATTAATACCTTAAGGAATGCACTTTGGAGAACAAACATGAAGGGCATGATTGCCTGAAAATCTGTATGTTCCCAGATTCATTTTCAGATATACATTTTCTCTATATGGCAAAGTTCACTTGCAGTTACAGTTTGACTTAGCTATTAGATCAAGATGGCAAAATCTATGCAATATCTCATTGTTAGTGGCACAGAATTACTTTGATGGAAAGTAGTGGCTGGCAAGCTGAATGAAGCAAACAAGGAATTTTATCAAGATTATAGACTCAAAACTGCCCCCAAAAAGTTAGATTAAGGTGTACAGCAATCTAATTACTTTCTAGGTGGGTTTTTGTTATTCCTTTTTGCAAGAATTGACCAAAACATGGTATAGTGAATCAATAATTTTGCATAATATTAAAAAGTCTTTAGAAAAAAATCCAACAACTTCGAGTAAAAGCAAACCTAGTGATAGGAAATGAAGGGAGGAGAGGAGAAGGGAGTTGAGGGAAACTGGAGGGGGAGATGAAACATGAGAGACTATGGACTCTGAGAAACAAACTGATGGTTTTGGGAAGGAGGGGGGCAGGGGGTTGGGTGAGCTTGGTGGTGGGTATTATGGAGGGCATGTGTGGCATGGAGCACTGGGTGTGGTGCATAAACAATGAATTCTGGTACACTGAAAAGAAATTTAAAAAATAAAAAATTTTAAAAAATAAAATAAAAAGTTAGGGGAAAAAAGCAAATTATAAGAGAATTAGTAAATAATGGTGTTCTTAGTGAATTTTAGAAAGAATATGATGAAGATAGGCCCTTGACATTCATTAGAGCTATGTTAGAAGTTTATATTAAAAATACATAATGACTTGTACAGCAAGAGCCCTGACTGGTCAGAACAAATGTTGGGTTGGCCTAAGTTCTAAAGAAAGGTCCTGCAGGGCCCCTGAGTCCGGAACTTCACTTATTCGTGCTAGAATTATAACAAGGTCTGGTTCCAAGCAGAATAAGGTTATCAAATTTTGCAACTAAAAAGATGAGATGCCCAGTTATTTTGAATTTCAGATAGACTACAAATAAATTTTTGTATGGGTATTTTCCAAATATTGCCAGACTATGGAAACTACCCAAATGCCCCTTGATACTTGAATGGATAAAGAAGATGTGGAAGATATATGCAATGGAATATTACTCAGCCATCCAAAAGAATGAAATCTTGCCATTCCCAATGATGTGGATGCAGCTAGAGAGTATTATGCTAAGCAAAGTAAGTCAGAGAAAGACAAAAACCATATGATTTGACTCATATGTGGAATTTAAGAAACAAAACAAATGATCATTGGGGAAAAAAAGAGAGAGAGAGGCAAACCAAGAAACAGACTCATAACTATAGAGAACAAACATAGTTATCAGAGGGTAGGCAGGGTGGCGATGGATTAAATAGAGGATAGGGATTAAGGAGTGCACTTGTGATGAGCGTCAGGTGTTGTATGGAAATGTTGAATCACTCTATTGTATGCCTGAAACTAATATTATACGGTATGCTAACTGAAATTTAAATGAAAACAACCAAAAAAGAGCAAATCCCACAGTCTTTCCTCTTTAAGAGTAGTTTTTAACCTTTATTTACATCCATGCTTGTCTCCAATACTGTATTACATGGGATCCTCAAACCAAAAAGAATTAAAACGATACGTGCTGTGACTGAAACAGAAGTGGGGTGGGGTGAGCAGGTCTGGAGTTCGCACTGCTCCATTAGCCTCCAGGAATCTCATTCTGGTTAAGTTACCCAGCACAATCTACTCCATTTGTTCTTCCAATAAAAATAAATAATTCAGTCATTTCTAGCTGTCTCCTTCAGAGAGCACTTTTGTTATAACGTTATACTTTCATTAGACTTTGGTTCCAACTTAAAAGAGTCTCAACAAAGAAAAAGAACTGGCTTGGATTCGATGTATTAGATGCAGCTAAGGAGATGGTTCTGCCCTCAGGACAGATGTCAAAAGAACTAGAAAAGTCCCCTGAACAGGCACAATGTTCTAGAAAGGAGGAAGAAGGAAGAACCAAACGTAGCAATAGTCATTATTCTTAGCAACAAAGCAGACTTCCACATTCAATGAAGAGGTTTACTGCAGCAACATTGAACTTGAAGCAATTAGCTCTTCCATGCCCTGTAGCCCAGCAAAGTGAGAAACTATGTAGACCTGGGTGAGAATAGCACACGGAGGACTGAGTCTACAGAATGACCCTCCTTTGAATAGTGGTTTGGGTAAAGGCATGTCCCTTTGGGGTGAAATTCAAAAAGAAAGGAGGGAGAAGTCATTCTCCCATTTTACCTATTTCTGTTCACATATACTTGGTGAGAGACTTTAAAAAAATAGACACTCAGTAGATGAGACACTTTCATGTATTCCTCCATTCCACAAATACTAAGTGTCTACTTGCCAGGCACTGTACAAGGCACTGGGGATAAAGCTGTGAGCCAGACACTTTCCTGTTCACTTCAGAGTAGCTCTCAACCCCACCCTTAGGTCTTTGAATAAGTCTACTCCATACTGCAATCATCTGAATAGAAGCACAGAAGAACTCCAGACTTTCTAACAAAGGACCAAGGACACAAGGAGAAAAGGGTGGAAGTCATGAATGGTTGTCAAATAGATTTCCTTTGTAGCACAAACTCAAATTCAGAAACATAAAGAGATTTTCCCCTTATCTAATACAGAAACATCAAAGGCTTTCAATGTTTTCCTTGAAATTAGGAAATGAATGTATTTATTATTTTTAACCTCAGATTGCCCACTCCTATTCTAGTAGAGCTGGAAAGACTCTTAAGTATTCCAGCAAAGAGGAAGTAATTTATCTGAGTTCCTGTAACCATAAGCCTCATCACCCAGATTGTCTATGAAGCGAATTTATCCACATAAGAAATTGTCAAAGAGTGCACACTTGGCATATAGTCATCTCTGGACAATTTACCTCTGTCTGTGTATTTTGTTTTAAACTATATTCAACAATTTAATTCAGCAAATGCTTGCTAAGTGGCTGCTAAACACCTCTCTGTCTGATCAGACTGGTAATAGACACAATCTTTCCTGATAATCAGAGTTTCCAGTGTCCTCCTTTGCAGACTTGAGAAAGAAGCCACCGAACAAAATCCAGACACAAAGGAAATTTGTAGCTCATGATCCTAAATGTGTAAGTTAAACCTATGAGTCTGATTCTTGAACCCAGGGTGATGGACTGCCACAAATGTACTTAAAAAGATGTTCAGATTTCAGAGAAAGGCAGGCAGAGTACATGGCCTGATTTCCCAGGTGAGTAGGTGGTGTTCTGCTGCAGTGGTCTATAACCATGCCATGGGCACCCCCAGCGGAAAGGGCGATCATCCAGAGCTACGCTTCTCCAGGGAGGTTTAGAACACTTTCTGACAGCTCCAATGCCCTGTAAAAATAGCCATAGCATGCTCCATGTGTAGCTGAAAATCTTACCCCTGTTCCTCATGAACAATAAGTAATTACCAGCCCTGAGGGGAGAGTCAGATTTTATAAGAAAAAAGTACAGGCAATGGACACTATATTGGCAATCTCATTAGAAATGACAAGAATGTTTGTTCATATCTTTAAAAAAAATAGCAAGGCAAAAGCGTACTTGGAGCTTCTCTACCATCTGCAATCTTTAATGCAGTATCTGCCATAACCAGGTGTTTGCTAATACATCTCAAGGCTCCCCCGGCTTTCTCTGTGTGGACACCAGCAGGATCAGCCATTCATCATGGTTATTGTTTAGGGGGAGCCTGAAACACTTCTTTGCTTCTAATCTTCAGCTTGTTTATTCATATGAAGAAATACATAAATACATAAATAAATAAATTTCACTCAAATGGTGTTTTCATTTCATCCTTCTCACCCAAGCATTATCCTACATAAAATAATAATTTTTCTCTCCTTTTTCAACAGTTCACTGCTTTGCCTTCTCAAAAAAGAAACCTTGGATGAAGGAGGATTTACTCATCTTTTCACTCAACAAATATTTATTGTCTATTATTTGCCAATCCCTGTTCTAGGCACTAGAAGAAAAGAATAGAACAAAGTAGACAAGGATCTTGTGTCCACATACTGCTCATACTGTGTCCCCATGGAGCTCATACTCTCATACTGGAAGAATCCCCTGCAAATTTCATCTCAGGAACAGAAACCCCACTGGTGCACCTAGCTCCACTGAGCACAAGTATACATACCAGCTATTGCAATATTCCAGCTGCTTCTGCTGGCTTTGATCAGCTCCTCATGTGTAAGTCCACTGACAATCTTCATCAATGAGTCAGGCTCACTCGGCTTCCCAGAGCCATTTTCACTTGGGCTGGATGTATGCTAAGATTCTTCAACCAGGAAATTTTAAATTATTTGTTGACTCCATTTTTAATGGTCTAACTGCAACTGCAACTGCTCTGCCTCTTTGCTCACCATCATTTGGAATAACTACTGAAAACTAGGACCTGAATTATGAGGACTAGGACAGGCATCATCTACCATGTAGCACCAAGTTACAGCAAGCTAGAACCTGGCAAGATTTGTCTGGTTTCTCTCTAAAATTATGACCAATTTACCTATCTTTCAGGATGCCCCATCCCTAGTTTCAGAGCCTAATGTTAAAATCTAGCCTGCTCCCTGGATGTAATGCTCTGTCTACTTGAGCCTTCGGTCATACCTCATATGATCAGATATCGCAGACAGCTATATGCCACTTAATTTGAGAATCATGGAAGCATAGATTCATGCTTTGGAGTCAAGGTGATTGGAATCATGACTCAAACACTATGTGTAAGGTCTTTAGCAAGTGATCTAATCTTCTGTGCCTCCATTTCCTTGTCAATAAAATAGGGACAATAACAGAACCCAACATGTAGAACTGTTGTGAGGTTTCAATGACTTAATACATGTAAAACATCAAGAATATTACTTGCTACATAGTTAAGTCTCCAATGTTTCCAACCTCATGAATATTTAATTCCTACTCCACTGCCAAAAGTCAACTTGAAGAATGAGATTGGTTTAGACCTGAATCCTGCATCCCTAGCCACTTTTCTTGGCTCTTCCAATTGCCTCTCTTGAAGGTATCTTTACCTAGGTTAGTTTGCCTTAATCCCTAGCCTCTTTCACAGGCAGAGTTTAGGGCTTTCTTGGATGGCCACAATTTCTCCACCAGTTTTGCCATACGGGAAAGGCAGCCCAACAGAGTTATAGCACCTTACGGCAACTACAACAGCAGAAGCCAGTACCATACAATTCTTTTCAACATCAAGAAACGTCTTAAATATTTGCACCTTATTTATGTCATCTGTAGAATAGAGACAGACTTAGTGAAGAGACAAAAGCTTCTTTCCAAAATTCTTTGAGCTGAGAGAGAAAGGTTATATATATAGCATGATGGTGTTAACCAATCTGAATTAAGGGATTATAGACACAAAAAACAAAAGTCCATGAGCAGCTAAGCCAATCATCAATCTTCAAGAACAGTAATGAGAAAGATGTATCCTTTATGCTCTAAAAGATGCTGTTAAATGACAGAAATAAAAACAGTATGATATTGGTACAATAAGAACCGACAATGGAACGGACTAGAGAGCTCAAACCAAGACCTGAATGTACATGAGGATTTACTATGGTATAAAACTGGCACAACAAAGCAATGAAAAAATGGTAGATTATTTAGTAGGTGATTTGGGGAAGCTATTTCATTATAAGTAAGAAAATGAAGGGCAACCCTGTCAGGACCCTTCTCACTCCTGAGAACTCGTTCTGTATCTTCACTTCAAAAACTTCTATCATTTTATTCACAAAAAAAAAAAAAAGAAAGAAAAAAGAAAAAGAATGAAATAAAAAGAAAAAATGAAAGGCATTCCATATGAATGAAGACCTAGATGTGAGACATTATAAAGTTAATAGAAATATAAAGTTAAGAAATATAAGAAATATAAAGTTAATAGAAAGGAATATAGGATAATACCTTTGTGACCTTAAGATGAAAGTTCACTTCATTATGAGGAAGAATAATTTGATTATATCAGAGGATTTCTATTGGATGAAGGACATCATGAAAAAAACTGGAAAAAGGAAAGGAAATATTGGCAATGACTAAAGCAAACAAAATATTAATATTTAGAATACAGAAGGAGCTTCTGACAACCAACCAAAACAAACAAACAAACAAAAAAAAACTTTTATGATGTAAGATGTAAGAATATACAATTCACACAAGAAATCCAAAATCTAACAAGAATAAATGAGATACCTAAACTCAGTGGTAATCAGGAAAATATAAATTAGAACAGGAAGGCAATATATATTTACACTTACTACCCTAGCAGAAATTAGAGAACAGTACATTAGAGAAAAATGTAAAAAAATAAAGAATGCAGAAACAAATAAAAGAATGTGGCAACACACTAAACTTCTTTCTCTACAAGAGGGAATATCTCCAAAGTGAACCATTTCAGAGATACATCTACTTGGAAAATTAAGTGTATTTTCCAAGTAGATGTGTCTCTTAAGTGTATACTTAAGCAATTTCTACTCCCAGAGAAATTCTTAAGGGAATATGTTCAAGGCTGTTCTTGGAAGCACTGTCTGAGAAGGATGTTGAAGGACATCTAGGTATCCATCAATGGAAGAGTAGGTATGTAAAAAATAGTGGGTGGTCACCATGGAGTGGCACTGTCCAAAACGGAGCCACTGGCCACATGGGGCTATTTAAATTTAATTTTAAATAAGGAAAATTAAATAAAATTAAAATTTCAGTTTCTCAGTCACACTAGCCATATTATTCACTATAATAGTAGCTATAAAGTGCTTGGTAGCCATATATAGCCTGTGGCTCCTACTTTGGATAATGCAGATATAAAATATTTCCACCCTAGAGTAGTTAGAAGAAATGGATTAAATGTTCATATAGTAACATAGATGATCCTTAAAAACATAGCACCTAGTAAAAATAATTTGCAATACCGTTAGGTACAGTATATAACAGTGGTACATAAATTAAAAATGTACACAGAAAATGACACACCTTAACCAAGTTAAATCATTTAAATAAAAAGATATGCCAGATTAATGGTTTCAAAGGGTTGGAGTCGAGTATAGGAACAAAAGGAAAAAAATAAATAAATCCATCCATACAGATTTTCAAGCTGAGAGGAGTGGCAGAATATGGAGTACCTGCCCTCATTGTGCTTGTCCTTGGGAAAGATCACAGTATGAAAAAGGCATGATTCCTAAAACCAAGGAACACATAGTTCATTTGGGACATGAGTCAAATAGCCATAGAAAGTAATAAAAAAGCAAAAAGAAAAAAAAAAGTGATAAGCATCCAACAAAAAGAGGGTTATAGGAATTCCAAGGTGAGAGAGAACCAGGTATGATTTGGGGGAAGAAGGGATACTCTATGTGGGTCTTGAAGATGGTGGAGTGAAATGAGGAGCTGGACCAAGAGCATTCTAATCAGACTAGACAGCTTGCCCAAAGGAATGGTAGGAAGAAGCCACACATAGTTCTCTCTTTCAAGTGAAATACAAAAAATGGTAGAGAATCAGACATGAGGTCAGTAAAGGAAACTAAAGCAAGAAGAGCCAGTACTAGCATATAGATACTGGGTGGCCATATTGCCCAGTTCACCTGGGAATGCCCTGGTTCATGTGTGCTGGCCCAGAACAATTATTAGTAGAGCCTTTTCATATTCAAAGTGTCCCAGTTTGGGCAAGAAAATATATGACTTTCCTACCGATAGAAACAGGCTGATAAAATAGTGTAACAGAGGGCTTCCTCTTTTGATACATTATATATTTTGATTTAATACATTATATATTTGAACCAATCACTGTTCTGATGCTATAATCATAAGGATTAGAACAAAATTAAAGTGTGTACTTTTGGAGAAACCATTTTCCTGTAATCTTTAGAAATGATAAGCTGGTCCATGGAAAAAATAATTTAAATGAAAATTGTAAATGTGCTTCAAAACAATTGCCTGATTCTGAAACATTTCATCAACATCTCTATTATGACGAATTAGGCTCTAATAATGCTGACTGGAATTCCCAGCTAATAGTATGAGGTTGGTAGAAGCTAACACCAAAGTCACTCCAGCAGGAACAAATCTAATGGCAGGTGATATCAAATTAAAACTGCCACACATATCCTGTTCTATATTTGAAAGAACATGGAGAGAAGAATTGAATTAGGAAAACTCAATTACAATCAGAATGTGTTTAACATTTTGATTACTAAAAATAAGATGCTAAAAGCACAATTACCTCAATTTTGGTTAAGAGGTCTTGCAGTTCTCCTGATTCATTCATTGACAAAATTTTCTCAGCACCCTATTAACAAGAAAGGGTTGGGGGGGAAGAAAATCCATTTTGTTAGTATTGGAGGAAACAAAGTTCTAGCCAGGAAACAGCTTAATCCACAAGATATTGAACACCATTCTTCCCTTCAGGTCTAAGTAAACTTACAACCAGGAGGCCAAATTGGGGAGTAAATTTCTTCTTCCCTTCACATATTCTCCCATTTGTTAAGGTTTAGTGGAAGCCAAAGGAAGACTGCCAGCAGGAGGTGAGAGCCAGGAAGCCCACAACTGTCAGATTAGGTCCACATATGGAAGGTTCCAGCACACCCTCGGAGTTGTTCAGAGAGCCTGAAGGCCACTGTGCCACCTGGGAAAGGAGACCATTGAGCAAATTCCCAGCTGGGGCTGTCTCCACCCTATTCCCATCAGTGCTGACATAACCCTTATAGCCATGCATGTAAAGATAGCAGCAGCTAATAGTAATAATGAAATTAATAACACTGACACATTAATTAATTAATTACATAATTAAGCACACATTATGAACCAGGCACCCAACATCATCTGATTGGAAGTGGTAGACTCTATTAATAGCACAAAGTGAGCCTCAGTGAGATTAAGCAACAATTCCAGGGCCAGGCAGAAAACAATGAGAATGGGAGTTTGAGCACAAGCAGGGAACTCATTCCACCCAGAAGGACACCGTGCCATTTGGGACTCCAGAAAGGATTCAGAACAAACCTGAGCCAATCCCAGAGAACCGACACTTTCAACAGCCCCCTTGACACAAAACCTGAGCCTGACACTCACCCTAACCCATGCCCTCAACTCGGCCCTCGGGGAAGGTCACCACAAAGCTGGCTGGTCAGACCTTCCGTGCTCCTAGGCCCTAACCCTAACCCTAGGTTGGGTTCTGAGAGGTCCATTCCCAGAGGCCTGGCTCCAAAGTCCCAGGGACTAAGAAATACCGGAGGACTCAGCCTGCAACATGGAAGGAAACAGTGCCATATGGAACTCCAGAAAGGATTCAGAGCAGGAGAACTCTGAATGCAAACCTGAGCCAGTCCCAAACTTGACCATGAAAAGGAGAACAGGGACAACGTTTGCGCTTTCCAACAAACTCACAGTGTTTCTTCTTTTCTCCTTTCCTGTCCAGCCTCTTATATTCTCCTACTCGATTTCCCAAAGTAGAGGCATTGAGAAGGAAGATTTAAATTACTTCTGATCAAAGGCAGAGACCATGTATGCCTTGTTCACCACATCTCCCTGGCACAGAATAACAACTGCTGGCACAGAAGAGAGGTTGAAACAATTTTTGATTAATCAACAAGAGCAGGAAAAATCGCATCACACAGTAAGTAGTTCTTGGATTCAATTCGTGCTGGGCAGGGCAGAAAACACAAGGACTCACTTAAAAATTCTTTAAAGCTCTTCGTTCTTAAGAAGGTTAGAATAGGTTTTTATGCAAATACCCAACAAAACCAGCCACAATGTAGAATGGAAAAGAAAAGTGTCAAGTGGGCAGTGCAGAGAAGGACAGTGAGGAAATCCTAACATGGGGGAAAGGATCTGCTTATTGAGGGCAGAGAGGGTGTTCTGAGGTTAGCGGCATTTGATCCGGACCCTGAAGCTGAAGGGGGGTTTCTAAGACAGTGTAGGCAATTTTCATACTGGTGTAGAGGAGCATTGAGTTCTGGGTTTTATTTTACTTCAGTTTATCTTATAAAATTCATGTCATCTGAATCACCATCAGAAATGTCAACTTGATATATTAAAAAGTACTACGAATGAATACCCAGGACTACAGAGAATGTATATAGATCAGGTTATTTTGTTTCCATTGGGGGTGGCTTGGCCAGGAGTACAGACAGACATACCTACAGTGGCAACCAAGGTAACAAAAGCACCGAACGAAACATGGAATTCTAAATCATAGCAATAACTGGCACTATTTTACTTGGGCTGCATTCGACTTCTTTAAAGGAGTCAGCTACGCGCTAAAATGGAAAAAGCTCCTGGGGAATCTGGTCCATGAACAAATTCAGCAAGGAGAATATATGACTCATTTTTCTTCAATGAAAGCACATGCACCACAATGACCCTAGACAAAATGAATGTACCAGAGAAGCTATCATGCATCTGCTTTCCAGCACTTTTCTTATCTCAGCCGTCAGCGGAGCCTTAGTTGTTTAGAATACAATGCATAGGCATTCTCATTACCCATCAATACATGAAATTTGCCCTGCAAAGGGCTTTCTCATTACCCGTCAATACATGAAATTCGCCCTGCCTCAGCCAAATAATTCCAGCACCATCAGTAATACAAGAGCAGATTCTGCGTTTCAATAGAAACACCGGCTTTGCTCACATTAAGCGATATACCTAAATGCATGATAGTCACCGCTCTTCAAGACACACCTGGGGTCTGGTGCATAGCCGATATACTAAGTGCTGAAGGTGGGAAAAATTCTGCTCTGTACCTAAGACCGGGGAGCTGAGTACTCGGTCCCTCTCTCCATGGCAGCTACTCAATATGGCATCCGCCCACAAGTCCGCCCGGCTGGCCCTCAGATCATTTCCTCGGAATGAGCACTCTGCTTTTTTGCCAAGTACTGAACGGAAACAGTAGTCAAAATCCCCGCCTCCCCACTGGGTCCTGCGTCCCCAACCTCCACCTGACCCTGTCCTTGATGAACCTAAGTGCAAGCTTTTACACGACAGGACAACGAAGTCGCTGTCCTCTCTGCTCCGAAGCAGCAGCAGGATGGGGATCTCAGCTTCACTGGCAAGTCTCGGGAAAAAATGAGATTCCTCCCATCCTGAGGCTTGGAACATTTCTCAGGCTATCTCTCCACCTACCCGGCTCTGCACTGCATTTTGCTGTTCCAAAGGTCTCATTCCCTGCAGTTTTCCATCAAAAACATTCTAATTATTACTTGGTTTATAAAAACACTTTTGTGTCCAAAAAAGGGAGTGTATTTTGGTAAGTGTTGACACTCTTAGGGAACACTCTTTTCCTGGGTGGTATTTGGCTAAGAGTATCACGTGTGAGTTGGTTAGCTTTTAAAATGTAAGTCTACCATTCAGTTCCACGCAAGTGGAAAGTAGCAATTAACTAGTCTTTCTGTTCCTTGGCATAGATTACCAGGACTTCCAGGACACCAATGGGAATATTTCTAATGTATTTTTCCAATTGATTCAGAATTTTTTTCTGAAAATTAATACAATCTTGAAATTAATGATCACAAGAAGGTGCTGGGTGCTTTAGAGAAGCTGACACTTTTCATCATCAGGGCAAAGTAAGCATTATTATCTCATTTTTTTTTTTAATAAAGAAAGTAAAGCTTGAAGAAAATAAGGAACATGGCCAGTACCTTTTAGTTCATCAACACAAAGCCTGGTCAGATCTTGAATTCAGGTCCCCCTGCCTCTAAGCCTGCACTCTTTCCATGATGCTTAGTCACTGACAGAATTTATTAGTTGAAGAAATGCTACAGATAAATCCTAGTCTGAGGAACAGGATGGTCTATGATTGGGATTCGCTGTTGACAAGAAAATCAAGCGAGTGCAAGCTTCCACTGCAATGACTTTAAACAATCCATTTAAATGTGCTGGAGAACCCAAGAAACAGCCCAGTTTTGTTCTTATGTCAGTGTCATGCCTTATTTGGTTATTTCAAAAACATTGCATATTCCAGGAAAAAAGGTTAGCTCATTATCAACTTCAATACATAAAATTAGCTCTATTCTCAAATTCTTCCCACCTTAAAATTCTGAGCAGTGAGCTATGACAAGTGAAGAAACCACTTTATTTTACATGTAACAAGTTCCTCACACTAAGGTAAGTCAAGACTCCATAATCGTTTCTCATATAAGTCACCAAAAAGAGACTCACACTTTCAAGGAACAAGAACAAGTTGAGAAAAGATATCAGCCCCTTGCTGATTAGGACTGCCAGACTCTCACCCACCATTTTTGATCCATGAATGTGCAAAAGTGTGCCACCATACTACCCATACTCGTGTTCACTCACTTATTTCCACATTAGACACAATTTGGAGCCTCCATGGTGGGTTAGGCACTGTGCTAAGTGTTAGAGATCTAAACAATAAATAAAAAGGCTCCCTGTTCCTGAGGGAACCTAAAATCTTTTGGAGGAGACAGATGGTAAACAAAAGATCACACAAAAAATGTAAGTTTATAACTGTCATAAATACCCACAAAAGAGATGTCAGTACAAGATGTTGTAAAAGTATATATAGAAAGGTGTGATTAACCTAATCAACAAGATTAGGGGAAACTCTATAAAGTAATGATTAAGTTGTTATCTTTATGAAAAAGAATAGGTAACTGAACACATAGATGGAAGGAAGGAAGGAAATTAATTAGGGCAATAAGGTGACCAATTATCATATGTACATGACTTTTGGTGGTCACCATTTCCTTTGATCCAAAATAAGAAAAACCACGTTCCAGGAAACATGCTATCAGATTCCACATAGTATTTTGGATTGGTGCCTTGGAAGAAACGGAGGGAAGACACCAGGCCACAGTGTAAACCATCAATTTTACCAATAAGCTGAGGAGAAGATAAAGTCGGTGTAAGCCAGCTTGGATTCATACTCTTCCAGATCTCTGTGAAGAGTTGTAGGTCAAGGGTTTCCAAACATCATCACCAAAAACCAAAATAAACAAATACAAACAAGTATTCTTTTTCTGAAGAATTAATTAAAATCACACATATAGATTTTAGCTGTCTCCAGGCTGATATATTTCCATGCTGATATCCAGGCTCTGCGAGTCCACATTGAACAACCATGTTTGGAAACCACTGACCTGTTTCCGAGATGTCCAGAAGAACTAAAGAAATGTTCTCATTAACCAAAACCAAACACAACTTTTAAGGTGCATATATATATATATATGTATATATATATATATATATATATATATGTGTGTGTGTGTGTGTGTGTGCATATATATATACACACACACACATATATATATATGAGCATATTGTGAGTTATGCTTA